TTTTGTTTATAATTGTTGTGAATGGCACCTGATTTTTGACGTTGTTTGTTTCGGTGTCGTGTCTGTGATTTGGTTTGATGTGTTACTTGTTTGTGTTCTACAACTGTTAATGTACTACAATTATATGTGGCCTTTTTAAATGTCTTGGATATTTAATTTTTAACAATTTATCATTTTAAATGTACTTTTTATTGACATGTTCTATATCTCAAGGCAGCACTGCCAATTGTAGATCTCTGGAACGAAATAAATATGTATGTATGTATGTATGTATGTACAGAATTTCCAACCTTCATATTCACCGGGCCGGGGAAGTGGGTAGATTCACCGCCCAACTATAGGTCCAAAATTATGCTTCTACACATGAGTTACGTTTGAAAAGTGGCAGAAAATGTGGATGTTTGTGCCTTCAGATTTGTGCTGCTGCATTTGTGCACAACTTGAATTCCAGAGCAGGATTTGTCAGTGCTACATAATTCGTATTTATTATGACAGGTCATGAACGAAATTATTATATGAACATTAATGAACTCCATTACATTTCTTGTCCGTTGTTAAATTTATCAGTAGTTTACATTCAGTTTCATTATATTGGTATATAATCTTTCTAGTATGTTATTTTTATTCTTATTCCATGACCATGACCTTTGTATTTTAAAAGATTTTCCCATTTTTATTCCTTAGACATTCGTCTGATCTAACATTAAAGACTGCTGTCTCCCATCATTGCTGACCCAGTAACCACTGAAAATATGCTGCGCCATAGCTGAAGTGGTTAGTCACTGGCTTCCTACCGCGGCGGCCCGGGTTCGATCCCGGGTCTGGTCATTTGTGGTGGACAAAGTGGCGCTGGGGCAGGTTTTCTCCAAGTACTTCGGTTTCCCCTGCCAATCTTCATTCCACAGATTTCTCCACAATCATGTCATGACAATCACCTGTCATCTGGTGCTGGTACAATAGGCCAGAAGTGGCCACAGTACAAGGGACTTAGTCCCACCCCACTAGCAATAAAATATAATAAAAAAAAACCCTGAAAATTATTCTGCTTTCACAAACCCTGTTCTAATTTTTACTGGGAGAACTGTCTGTATAGTGACTGGCTACAGACTGGATGACTGAGGCTCGATTCCTGGTATGGTCACGTATATTTCTCTTCTTGTCACATTCAGATTGGTTCAGGAGACTGCCTGGCCTATCGGATGGGTTCTGGGTGAATCTTTCATGAAGAATAAAGAAACTGGAGCTCGGTTTTTACTTATCTCCATGTAGTACCAGCGTAAAGAACGTGTGCTACAGTGAAGAGGCAGAGGAGAAAAGAAAGTATATTGTGCAGGAGGAAAACAGAAGGGTAAAAGTATATTTTCACATAATAAATAGTACAGGTATGCTCATAGAAACACATTACTAGATTGATAAAAATATACTTTTCTCAGGGACAAACTGAGGAATTTTAACCAATCCACACAGGTTAGAGTGGATTTCTTGCTGGGTTTTCCTCTTCACTAAGTAGAATACTTGACCAAGGACTATGGTGTGTAGCTTAATTATGAACTGATATATTATTTATTCGCAAAAGTGTAACAATTCATAAACATGTTTATCACAGCTGTACCGATGATCACTTTAATTAATACAACTTTGTCACCGAATCTTACAGGAAAATAGTTTGTATTTCCATTGTGTTATGATGCTTATAAAAAGAAAATAATACTCAAAACAGCTGTAACCTTCTCAATCTCCCTTGGTTTTTTCTCTGATAAGGAATCTGGTTTGACTCTTTAGATTTCTACATCTTTCTTACATAAATTGTTTGTCACACACTTTTGTCATAAACTGGACAAACCAGACAGACTTACATTCCTTTGAAAATCTACACCAGCATTAGTATGTCTAGCTGGTCACAGAAATTTTTATTAGATTAATTACTTATATTTTAACCTGGTATCATGCAAGATTCCCATGGAACAAGGCGGAAGCATACCTTCAGCCTTGGTCAGTACACAACAGTATTCCAGGAAGAGGTGTAAAGCACTTGGTATACACCAAATCACTTCAAAATTGGTTTGGGACTGCCACCAGTCCCTCATACAACTGGCCAGACATAACAGAGTTCAACTGATATGGGTGCCAGGTCATGAGGGTATTGTAGGGAATGAAACTGCAGATCAGCAGGCAAGAACAGGATCTGAACAGCCGTTCATAGGACCTGAACCGGATTGCGGAATCTCAATTGGAGTTGCCAAAAAAAGCGATCAGGGACTGGACTGATAGAGAACTTAAAAAACACTGGGAATCCACAATTGAACTCAAACAGGCAAAAGGATTTATATCAGGACCCTCTGCTAAAAGAACAAGGGACCTGTTAAAATTAAACATAGATCTATTAAGATTGATGGTAGGATTACTTACTGGACACTGACACCTAAAAGGGCACCTTTTCAAACTGGGGCTGACAGATGACCCAACTTGTGAGAGGTGCCTACAAGAAGATGAATCAATCACACACATCTTATGTGACTGTGAGGCTATAGCTTACCTAAGATATCACCACCTGGCTCAGTTCTTCATGGAACCAAATGACTTTTATGATGCCCCTATAAATAAAGTCCTTCATTTCATTCAAAGAGTAGGATTAATAAAGGGTTAATCCAAAGGGGAAGCACAATAGATCATTGAAGGTCGCAGTGCGAGGGCTGGTTTCTATGGCTCACTCCTCATACTCATATATTTTAATTTCATAATCTTTTGTGGTCATAATTATTCATCGTATTCACTATTATTAATCTTGTAAGTTGACATTTGAATATCAACAAATACAAAACATGTTTAACAATTATAATAATATGAATAAAAATATATTACATCTCCTATGTTACATTATCCATTACTAGGGCACTTAAACGTTTCCAGTGGCCCCCACCTACTACCCAGCTTCTGAGGTTACAGTGTCTGGCTGTACTGTTGACTACCAGAGGCTCTGAAATTGGAAGGAATAATTATGAGATTAAACTATTTACATAAATGATGCATGTAATGATTTTAAAATTATAGTATAAATCTGTAGTTAACTATAATGGCACTGATTTGTATTTAATTTAGTTCTTTGCTCAAGAATAAATTCTATGTGAAAGATCCGATGTTGAACCTTTCAGATTAGTTTCCCCAAGAAAATCTTTCAAAATTTCATTGTTAGAGTAGGAGTTCCCATTATTATAACAAGTACAGTTTTTTGAATATTTGAACCTAAGGCTCATTCTGTAGGAATTTAAGTGAGGAACAAAGGTAGTAAATATTTAATAACAATATGGGAATAACTGATATATTCTTGTGAATACAGGAAGAAATAGTAAGACATACGATGGGGTACCCAAAAGAAACCGAACTAATTTTTTTGTGGGCAGAGCTTTTGTAGTACCGCGTTTTGCCGCTATGAGCGCATAGAGCTAACATTCCTGAGTCCATAAGCCGACTACCGTTGCTTCAGAAAGTAAGGACTAGTTTCAGCAGAGTTTATAGTGACAACTGTTTTGTGTGATCGTCGTTTTTGCAATGGCTGATTTTCGTGAACAGCGTGCGGCGGTGAAATTCTGCTTTTTGCTCTGGAAAAGTTGAACAGAAACTCTTGAAATGTTAAAAATGGCGTACAAGGACGATGCTATGGGGAAAATTCAAGTGTTTGAGTGGTTTTCCCGTTTCAAAAATGGTGAAATGTCAATTGATGACAAACCTCGTTCTGGTCGTCCTTCCACGGCCCGAACACATGAAAATGTTGAAAAAATTCGTGAAATCGTCAAGGAAGATCGACGATGGACCATTGAAGAAATTGTGGAGCTGTCGGGAGTGACTTGGAGCTCAGCGGCCAGATCTGTGGCAGTTGGGTGACTGGTTTTTCCATCATGACAATGACCCTGCTCACACAGCCCTGTCTGTACGACAATTCTTGACCAAAAATGGTATGACCCCTGTTCCTCACCCGACCTTGCTCCGTGCGACTTTTTTTTTGTTTCCTCGAATGAAAAGAGACATGAAAGGAAAAAACGACGGAGGCGCTGTCAAGCATCTCAAAAGATGAATTTAGACAATGTTTTGAAAAATGGAATAAAGGACTAGACAAGTGTATTAGTGTAAGTGGAGAGTACTTTGAAGGGGATTGAAGGTTTGTGCTTAAAATTTGAATAAATAAGTTTAAGAAAAATAAGTTCGGTTTCTTTTGGGTACCCCCTCGTATATTCTGACATTTCATTATGCCTTGGTCTTGAAGCAATTGAGTGTGATCATATATTTATATTCTTGTTGGCTAAGAATAAGAGACAGGTAACAGACTGAAAATCTAACAGCACCAAAATAACAGTTGGTTAATAAAATAATTATTAATTCACCATAAATAAGTCCAAAACACGAATATACATGCTCAAGCTGCATTCACATCAGTGATGACTCAGCCCTTTGAACATCAAAACAAACTCCGTGGTTTTAGTCCACAAGCAAACTATACCAAGAGACCACTGCTTGTTGGCGAAGTTAGTGCCAACTTTAGCGGATAGAGGGTGTTGCGTGGTCAGTGCAATGAATCCCACGCCCATTAATTTCGGTGTTCTAGACGGGAGCCACTATTTCCTTGAAGTATCTTCTCAATTATCCACATGAGGCTGAGTGGACCCCGTTCCAGACCCACTACTTCTCAGAAAATCTGGTAGTGCCAGGAATCGAACCTGGACTTCTGGATCCGTACCCAGGAAAGCCCTTTGAAGTCCATTGTCAAATAATTCTCACTATATTAATTAATGTTTTGTAGAATGCTACACTAAATGGCAGAACAAATTTGCAGGTAAATTAAAAATATCACGCAAAACTTCAGAATTTTTTTTTCTTCTTTTATTATGCTTTCAGTATCTATAATATCAAAAAACAGTTCAGATGATTTCTGTAGTGTAATATTTTAACAATAACACGTTCATTATAATGCATGCTCATCGTTCAAATTTGTTAGCTGTGAAAAAACTGTACAATTAATCCTTTGTTGTGGTAGAAACTCTTGGCTGGCACAATGTTGACTGCAGGCTAATTGATTAACATACAGTAATGGTAAACCATAAATTCCTAAAAATTGGCTCTCTGAAATAAAATGATACACTTCTAAACTTTCATCATATTTTTACACTTTCAAAATTATTCTTTTAAACCAAAAGAACATTTGAAAACAGAAATTTAAAATGAAAGTTCAGTATTCAAGCAGCCACATACAAGACGGCAAGTCCATATGAGTTTTAATTTCATACCATTATATCTGTAGTAAATGAGCCCAATCCACACAGCATCTCAGGCTGAATGGCAATGGGGACCGTTATGGAATGAACCTCCCTTGGAGCCGGAGCTTGAGGAGGTTGGAGTGGCAGCAGTGCGACTATTAATGAACATAAGTAGGCATCATATTTGTCAGAATGTTTTACAATATGAGTATATACGTATTCATGTTTACTTTGTCAACTCTTTTTTCTCTTTGTAATTAATATACATTAGGATTAAAATCTTTCATACCAACAATTTTAAGTTCCTTGTCGAATATTCCCAAGATTACCTTTTGAAACTGTGAATGGCAGTTATGCTAGTTTATGTATGGATTCCCAGAACACAGAATTACATAATGTTAAATATAAAGAATTATAAATACTAGTCTTCATTACAAGTTAAAAATAGTTATACTTGGCTCTTTAAGTTGCTGAAGTGTTTCAAAACATCCTTAATTTTAATTTAATTTAATTTATTCTTATATTCAAGTAGATCCAGTTACAGGGCCATAAACAAGTTCACACACCACAGAATGTGTCAAAAATCAAAATAAATGTTCCAACCAATCACTGGAGCAAGTCAAAATAACATAATATAAAACGTAGACAACACAGTCACTAAACATAATAAAATGCAACTACAACATGACTTAAATACTAGATGAAAACATATTAACCATTTATCTTATAAAATTCATCCAGTTTATAAAAACAATGCATATGAATGGATATTATCAATAAACAATGCAATATCAAATAATGTATGTTACATCACTCACACATCAAAAGAAAAAACTATAAAAACATCCAACATGCATGAACAATAAATGGAATAAATAAATTCTCTCAGAAGTGTACTAAAAATTATTATGGTGATAAATACATACATACATACATAACTCTATATAAATAAAAATATTCATAAAACAAGAGATTGTACATTTAAATAAAAGTCATAGTTTGTATGTATGCAAATCTAAAGTAGATGATTATTTATATATTTTTAGTTAGTTAATAGGACTTGTTAAGGTTAATTTTAGATACTATTTATAAGAACCAAGATCACCCCTTGTGTTCCATTCATAATATTCATTTAAAGAATAAAATGAACCAGCCTGTTTGACTTTAGTAATATAATTTAATAGATTCCTGATTCCTTGTGGTATATTATTGAATATCCTAATTCCTGAATAATATACACCCTTCTGCACTTCAGCTAATTTATTAATTGGAAAATGTAAGTCAAAACCTTGTCTGGTGTTAATGCTATGTATAGCAGAATTAAATTTAAATATATCTAAATTCTTAACCAACAAAAATTGATACAGAAAATATATATTGAGAATATAAGGGCAGAATATTTAACTGCCTGAACAATGGACAACAAGAGTCCTTATTTCTTGCCTTCATAATAATTCTTACTGTTCGTTTTTGGATTTTGAAAATTAAATTGCTATGAGTCGAACTGCCCCAAAATATTATTCCATACGACATAATGGAATGTACATATGCAAAATAAATCATCCTTAAACTCTCCTGAGTCATAACTGCAGATAGGGTTCTAATAGAATAACTAGCCGCATTCAGCTTAGTTACAAACTGATTTATTTGATCTTTCCATGATAAGGTATTATCTATGATTAGTCTTAGAAATTTTGTATTACAATCCAGGCTGCTGTTCATCCTGTATCTTTTAGCATATGAATCATGCACAAATAGATTTAACAAGAATGTACTTACAACTGCTGCACTCCCTGAAGGGCTTCCTCCCCTTCTGTTATCTTCTTAAGGTTATGTACAGAATATCGATTGTAGAGTCCCCAGATGCTGTTCATTAGTTTGCTGTTATATTTAACAGGTGGCTGTTCCTGGTCTGCAGAAAGAAATGGAGTACTGTATGAGAATGAAGTATTCAGAATACATCCAGCTAACATATAACTTGTTTTTATAGGAACCAGATTAAGAATAACCTCCTTTAGTGAAAATAACAGTGTCCTACTTCAAGTCATTCTAAAATATTAATGACATTAGATATTGGAATGAATGGAGGACTATCCTGGAAAACCTCCATATGTAAGACTAAGAACAGGATAACACTGAGTTAGACATAAGAGAGAGCTACTGTAAAAGATGGGTGGATCTGGATCAAGATTGTGTCCAGCAGCACACTTTGGTATCAGTGTAGTCAAATCTTGGGGTTCTGCTATTACAATGTTAGAAATTAGAATTTTCTATAATGACAGATAACAGAAAATTGTTTCTCAGAAAGTATGATACAGNAGTGCGACTATTAATGAACATAAGTAGGCATCATATTTGTCAGAATGTTTTACAATATGAGTATATACGTATTCATGTTTACTTTGTCAACTCTTTTTTCTCTTTGTAATTAATATACATTAGGATTAAAATCTTTCATACCAACAATTTTAAGTTCCTTGTCGAATATTCCCAAGATTACCTTTTGAAACTGTGAATGGCAGTTATGCTAGTTTATGTATGGATTCCCAGAACACAGAATTACATAATGTTAAATATAAAGAATTATAAATACTAGTCTTCATTACAAGTTAAAAATAGTTATACTTGGCTCTTTAAGTTGCTGAAGTGTTTCAAAACATCCTTAATTTTAATTTAATTTAATTTATTCTTATATTCAAGTAGATCCAGTTACAGGGCCATAAACAAGTTCACACACCACAGAATGTGTCAAAAATCAAAATAAATGTTCCAACCAATCACTGGAGCAAGTCAAAATAACATAATATAAAACGTAGACAACACAGTCACTAAACATAATAAAATGCAACTACAACATGACTTAAATACTAGATGAAAACATATTAACCATTTATCTTATAAAATTCATCCAGTTTATAAAAACAATGCATATGAATGGATATTATCAATAAACAATGCAATATCAAATAATGTATGTTACATCACTCACACATCAAAAGAAAAAACTATAAAAACATCCAACATGCATGAACAATAAATGGAATAAATAAATTCTCTCAGAAGTGTACTAAAAATTATTATGGTGATAAATACATACATACATACATAACTCTATATAAATAAAAATATTCATAAAACAAGAGATTGTACATTTAAATAAAAGTCATAGTTTGTATGTATGCAAATCTAAAGTAGATGATTATTTATATATTTTTAGTTAGTTAATAGGACTTGTTAAGGTTAATTTTAGATACTATTTATAAGAACCAAGATCACCCCTTGTGTTCCATTCATAATATTCATTTAAAGAATAAAATGAACCAGCCTGTTTGACTTTAGTAATATAATTTAATAGATTCCTGATTCCTTGTGGTATATTATTGAATATCCTAATTCCTGAATAATATACACCCTTCTGCACTTCAGCTAATTTATTAATTGGAAAATGTAAGTCAAAACCTTGTCTGGTGTTAATGCTATGTATAGCAGAATTAAATTTAAATATATCTAAATTCTTAACCAACAAAAATTGATACAGAAAATATATATTGAGAATATAAGGGCAGAATATTTAACTGCCTGAACAATGGACAACAAGAGTCCTTATTTCTTGCCTTCATAATAATTCTTACTGTTCGTTTTTGGATTTTGAAAATTAAATTGCTATGAGTCGAACTGCCCCAAAATATTATTCCATACGACATAATGGAATGTACATATGCAAAATAAATCATCCTTAAACTCTCCTGAGTCATAACTGCAGATAGGGTTCTAATAGAATAACTAGCCGCATTCAGCTTAGTTACAAACTGATTTATTTGATCTTTCCATGATAAGGTATTATCTATGATTAGTCTTAGAAATTTTGTATTACAATCCAGGCTGCTGTTCATCCTGTATCTTTTAGCATATGAATCATGCACAAATAGATTTAACAAGAATGTACTTACAACTGCTGCACTCCCTGAAGGGCTTCCTCCCCTTCTGTTATCTTCTTAAGGTTATGTACAGAATATCGATTGTAGAGTCCCCAGATGCTGTTCATTAGTTTGCTGTTATATTTAACAGGTGGCTGTTCCTGGTCTGCAGAAAGAAATGGAGTACTGTATGAGAATGAAGTATTCAGAATACATCCAGCTAACATATAACTTGTTTTTATAGGAACCAGATTAAGAATAACCTCCTTTAGTGAAAATAACAGTGTCCTACTTCAAGTCATTCTAAAATATTAATGACATTAGATATTGGAATGAATGGAGGACTATCCTGGAAAACCTCCATATGTAAGACTAAGAACAGGATAACACTGAGTTAGACATAAGAGAGAGCTACTGTAAAAGATGGGTGGATCTGGATCAAGATTGTGTCCAGCAGCACACTTTGGTATCAGTGTAGTCAAATCTTGGGGTTCTGCTATTACAATGTTAGAAATTAGAATTTTCTATAATGACAGATAACAGAAAATTGTTTCTCAGAAAGTATGATACAGAATTTGATTTGGCTCATCCTGGTCCATCACACTAGCAATATTATAAAAGGTTATCAATTCCATCCAGTGTGACTGATAAAAGTTTTTCTTCTCCTTTCATGGCATTGTAATGATATTGTATGTATGTACTGATATTGACCAATCACATTGTCATAGTATTTTCTGCCTGTATTGACATATCCTTCTAAAGTTGGTCTCTCAGATCGAAACATGTCAAGGATGAAAGATTAAAAAGGAGTAAAAAAAACCTTTATCATTCACACTGGACAGAGTTGATAACCTTTTTATATAATACAAAATACTCCACTAAAGAAACACTGACAGGTGTTGCACCAGAAAAGTTACAGGTGTCAAACAATTTATAGCCACTCCTTCAAATGTCAAGTAGTTTCTTCCTGAGGACATAGAGTGGGTTACTGATCTCATAAAAACTCAAGAGCTGCACATATGATACAGTCTTAGCTGATGAAAAGCCATCAGCTGCTGCTCCATTACATACAATTAGTGTGCTTAGATAAGAAATGAGCTCTCTCAACACTGATGAGCATTTTCATGCTTTATATGTCTCTGCAATTAATAGTATCAAGATATTCATATTCATAGTGCATCTAACAGAAGAGTTACCATGTTTAGGAAAGTGCTAGAGGAAAACCTGCTCCAGTGTAACTTTTTTCATCAAAAGACTACATATGGACTGTCCTTGGACTGAACCTGTGCCTTCACAGTTTGAAGCCAAGTCAAGCTGAGCTATAGGTTGCTTTTAGTTATTTTTAGGTTAAGGTAAAGCTGTGCCTGTGCTTAACGAATTAAGCGATAGCCGTGAAGGCATGTTATGAATGGCTATATAGATCCATGTATTCTTGGCCTCAGCAGTAGTCAAGAGGTGAGTGGTCAGTTTCACATCCTAGCAACTTTACCCCTGGATAGGAGGCTAGGCAGGCCGCAGAACCGGTCTGGATGACGTGGAGAAGAGAGAATTCTTGCCCTTACCTTGACTCGAACTCCAACCCCCCGGGCATTCAGCCTGCACCCATTTGCTATACTGACTGCACCATCCCAGTTATTTGAGTTTTTGGTACATATAAGTCATTCTATCCAGTACTCATATTACTTAGTAAAAGTGAAACTGTACCGCTTCTTAAATAATTAAGCACTCTGCCATGAAGGCGTATGGGAAGTGGATGTATACATCCACATTTTCTTGACCTCAGCACTAGTTGTAGGTGAGTGGTCATCTTCATGCCCCTGTTGCTTTACCCTAGGAGAAAGAATCTCTGGTACCCATTTGATAGGAGGCTGGGTGGGCCCCAGAGCCATTCTGGACGACATGGGGAAGAGAAAATTCCTGACCCTACAAGGGCTCGAACTCCTACCCCTTGGTTGTCCAGCCCATAGCCAGTCACTATACCATTTATGTTATCCTGCCTCCACTCATTACTTAGCAGGGCCAATAAATGAAAATCATTTACTGCAGCAAGGAGAGGAAAACTCTTACATTTCTTATAAACATGAGGATAATATGGCTGATGAGGTGTGTTCTTTTCTGGTTCCCTTCTCTTTGTAGAGAGCATGTTGTCAACGTTTGGAACTTGATTTTTCCCTTCATTTGCACGCACCTTCCAAGTTGCATAAGCTCCTTGAGGGATGGAAGACATCTGCTTGTGGCAGTCTGTAAAATCACATAAGCACTCCTTTACACAGAATTCAATGAGCAACAATTTTTTTTTTCTTTTCCATGCAACTACTTTTGAGAGAACATGGTCTACATTAGCTTACATAATGTGTATGCTAATACATATGTAATTTGGAAGAATAAAAATGGACAGAAAAATAAAATAATATATATCTTTCAATTTCAGTAACTATACAATCCAATGCAATCTTCATGATTCTGCAAATCTATACAAGTATTCTACTTATGCAGCTAATCAACAGTACCAATAATGAGACATATCCTCTGGGATATAACGCCTCATAGTCTGCTAAAAGCCTTTGTTATGCCTACTCAGTTTGGCCCAATCAGTAGAGCTTGTCCCTACTCTGAACACCAGAACTGACAGGCAGAACATATAAACCAAACCAAGGGACTAGCTCTATCAATTGGGCACAACTGAGTAGGCTTCTACCTGAGGATGAAGACATAGTCCAGTTTCCAAAACGCTGTTTTTAAATGAAAAACGGATGAAAGATAATGTCCAAAAAGTCAATAATTTTAAGTCTGATGTTCTAGCAGCAGTGAGATGATACCGGTTCTAGGATACGACAATGCACAGATTGGTAGTAAATTTGCGATGCTTTGGTGGAACGAACTCTATCCACCTGCAGGTTCGAGTACTAGGCAGAGCTAAAATCAGTGAAAGTCTGCCCAGCTACACGGAGTCACATTCTGAAAAATAATGCTCAACAAATATGCAATCGCTAAATCCCGATGAGAACTATCGAATGATTCATTTGGGAATAACAATCTGCTATTGAGGAAGTCTTGTAAAAAAAGAAGCATAATTCAACAGGGTTCGTTATAACCCAGTTAAAACCATTCAACCCTGCCATTCGAATCCTACCACTCGGTACCTGAACATGAGGAACATCAGACTGCATTAGACTTCTAAATTGTACTATCGATTTCGGTAGTTTTTTTTTATTTTTAATTGTAGAAAAAATTATTGTAAATACAAAAAAGGCCTAGGCAATGCCCATCCGGCCTTCTGTAACACGTTCTTATAAACATCTTATTCAATCATAGCGGTCACCCCGCGATTCTTAATATAGATCTTAACTTAAATCTGAGGGTATACTGTTAATAATCAGTACAATTACTTCTTTTACTTTTCTTACGTATCCATCTTACGTATGCATGTTATTTATGAAGTAACAGACGCCTTGCAGAAATCTTTTTTCTTCTAGCCTTAAGAGTTCTATAACTGACTTTGGGTATTCTTTTCTGCTGTTCTCAGACAAGCTGTCCATCATTGTTGCCCTTGGTCCTCGTACAGTTTACAGTCCCAGAAGATATGTTCCTCCATTTGCAGCCCATCACCACATTCGCATTCGGCCGTGGGCACAATGTTAAATCTGTTTAGGTTTGCTTTAAGACTGGTGTGGCCTGCTCTCATGCGGTTTATTGACATGAAGGCACGGCGGTTCATTTTTATCTCTCGGAACCACGGAGACGATTTCGGTAGTTTGAATCGGTTTGAATCAATCGATACATGTGCTCCTATCTGTTGTTAAATTTTAGAATTACGAGTTGGCAATTGCCAACATTAAACAAAAGGCACCAACTTCGAACTATTGTAAGCGTGCTCTATAGTCCGACCGCGGTTTAATTCTCCCTGAGTTAACAATTGTCCGCCTCGAAACAACACTGGCCAATAGTCACTTCAGCGCTGTTCGCCTCGAAATGGCATAGGCTGACAGTCACATGTTGGCTAAGTGCATTGCCAGGTGTATATTTTACTTGCGAGACTACTACACCAGGCATAGTAGTATGTACTCTCACTGCTGCAAGCTTGTAACTGCAGTATTTGGCGTCTGGAATTGAACTAAAGATCTGTTAACAGTGCTATATATACACTTTTTTTTCTTAGTAGTGGTTGGAGTCCAACTGGGTCCACTCGGCATTGCGACCACTGATTGGCCTGCTGTACCTGTCCCGGGTGATTATGATGATGGAGAATTTGGTGGAATGAAGATTGGCAGGGGAGACCGAAGTACTCGAAGAAAACCCGCCCCAGCGCCACTTTGTCCACCACAAATCTCCACTTGACCAGAGCCGGGATCGAACCCGGGCCGCCGCAGTGGGAAGCCAGCTACTAATCGCTTGAACTATGGCGCGGCCTTAACAGTGCTACATACATACATATTTTCGGCCGATTTGGGGGCATGTTACGCCATAAACAGGTTGGGCCAGGGGTCAGTAAATCGCGGCGCTTCTGTGGTAAATAGAGTACGAAGTCGGATATCAGTAGTTTTATTTACACGTTGTGTGGTCCTGTTGGAACTAGGGACGCAACAACGTCATCAGGCGTGTCCTTCAGTGACAACGTCCACGGCAGTAACACGTTGTGTGTCTGAAAGAGCTAATTTGCAAACCGCGTTATTTTGACAGAGCTGATGTCATCGCGTTTGGGCTGTCACTTAACAAGACCTTAGAGCGCACATAATAGGTTGAACTATAAATAATGTACAGTGAGCTTATACTGAACATTCAGCTCTTGAGAATGAAAGAAAATACACTCCTGTTTTCTAAAGTTCAGGATGTATGTGATGTCCCAAAAAAAAAATAGAATATACAAAACTATAATTTTGCCTGTGGTTCCCTACGGGTGTGAAACTTTGTCTCCGACATTGAGGGAGGTACATAGACTAAGGGTGTTTGAGAACAGGGTGTTGAGGGGAATATTTGGATTGAAGAGAGATGAAGTGATGGGAGGTTGGAGAAAACTACATAATGAGGAGCTTCATAACTTCAGACTCTTCTCCAAGTATAATTAGAATGATCAAATCAAGGAGGATGAGGTGGGCAGGGCATCTAGCACGAATGGGGGAGAATAGGAATGCATATAGGATATTGGTGGGAAAGGCAGAAGGAAAGAGACCACTGGGAAGACCAAGGCGTAGGTGTGTGGACAATATTAAAATTGATCATAGAGAGATAGGATGGGATGATATGGACTGGACTGACCTGGCTCAGGATGGGAACCAGTGGAGGGCTCTTGTGAACACGGTAATGAACCTTCGGGGTTCATAAAATGCTGGGTAGTTCTTGAATAGCTGCACAATGGCTCCTCAAGAAGGGCTCAGCTCCATCAGTGAGTAGGAAAGTCACATAGGCGAGGAAGGTGTTTACCGAATATTGAGATCTTGTTTACTACTAGTACTGCCTTATTCTTTTCAAGGGTTCATTTTCTGTCCATGTAACTCCATTTAAATATTCCAGATTTAAAAACGTCCTTCTTTTATTTTAATATATACGCATATGGTGGTCGCTCATTCGTCTATAACAACTGATATTTCAGTCACCTTATACTAGGCAATATGAATCAGCCATTAAACGGCAGAAAGAAAATTATACGACGTTCAAAAGCATGCATGAATGTATGTAAGCTAACAGAATGCTCTAGTTTTCCAACTGTTCGTCTGTCATGGACCAATATTGAAGATGACGCAAATCAGGGTTATCGAAGCAGATAAGGCGTTTAAATGAAGAGTATCAGACCGTGGGGATGTTCTATAGCCCCCCATCCTCCATAGGCGTAGATATGCTTTACGTACTTGCATCCCAGAGAGCCGGGATAGCTCAGTCGATATAGTGACTGGCTACAGGCTGGACAACCGTGGGGTCGGAGTTCGAGTCCCGGTGGGGTCAAGAATTTTCACTTCTCGATGTCGTCCAGGCCGGCTCTGGGGTCCACCCAACCTCCTAGAAACGGGTACCGGGGGCTCTTTCCCGGGGGTAAACCGGTCGGGGCGTGAAGCTGACCACTCACCTCCAACTAGTGCTGAGGTCAAGAAAATGTGGATCTATATATCCACTCCCCCATACGCCTTCATGGTGTAGTGCTTAATTAGCTAAGCACAGGGACAATTTTTAACCTGAATGTTGTGAGACTTTATTGTTTCCCCGTGAGCTACATCCAAAGTTGCTTTACAAAAAAGAATACTTCACTTTATGGTATAGGTGATTATTCACTTGTACAAGAAATGCCTTTTTATTGTGGAGTCTACCACTTGAACACCATCATCATCATAAAAACCTGCCACTGTACCCTGTTCTACGTCAGTTCGATTCGTTTCACAAGTTATTTATATACGACAGTCTTGGTATTATTCATGCCTAGGTTGAGGAAGTGCTCCAATTTCGCGGAGAAATGAAAACGCTCTGCAATGGAATTGATACAAGGCAGATGTATGACATGAAGTCAAGTATAAATACGCGTATAGGACTGGGACAGTATGCGGCTGTAGGGCTGTTAGGAAATACTTTCTTTCTCGGCTTCCCCCACAACAGGTATATATACTGTCGGATGGCTGAAAGATGTGTGGCTTGGCATGAACACGTGATTCTAAATTTGGTTCGCCCGTTGAAGGCTTCTGAGATATTTGTATAACTCTTTGAGACACCGGCACTCATGTGTACTTCATGCTAAACTCTCTTCTCTGTAATGTATGCCTATGGTCGTTAAATACATTCTACTGTCATTTTCCGTGGGCTTCATTATACTTAAGACGTCGCAGAGAATAGCTAGCACATCTTCTTCGGTAAGTCGCGAGTTTCGGCTCAGAAACCGGCTATTTTGCTAGATGTTTCGTGGCATTCCTCGAAATCTCCAGATGGGGACTGATAAGGTAAATGTAAAGTTGTCCCTGTACTTAATTACGTAATTAAGCACTATGAAGCCATAAGGGACATGGAGGTATAGTTCCACCATTCTTAACCTCTGCACTAGATGGAGGTGAGTGGTCAGCTTCACGCCATTCCCGCTCTACCCACGGTATCCACTAGACATGAAGTTGTGTGAGGTTCAGAGACGGAGTTGCATGGAGAAGGTTGGATACTAATATAAAAACATAAACCAGCCTACGATAGCTTCTTTGCACATTCTTTCTGTAAATCATTCACGTAATCCTGTCATTTGAAGTTACGTAACTTACATCTTCGAATAATTC